AGGCCTACTTGGACAGCACCCTGCCAACCGAGGTAGACAATCCCCTTGACTACTGGGCAACGAAACTTGACCTTTGGCCCCAACTAGCTGAATTTGCCCTTGAAAGGCTGTCATGCCCGGCCAGTAGCGTGGCATCGGAGCGCGTGTTTTTAAGTGCCTGCGGCAGGAGGTATTGTAACTCCGCGGAGGACACGACTGTCCACCCAAAGTGCGGAGAGACTCACGTTGTGAAAATGAATCAGGCGTGGATTAGTCTGGATTTCAAACCACCAGTTCCTGACAACTGACTAAATCCGCCATGAATCATGCCCCAAACATGTGCCACTTTCAGGTCTCCTCACACTGCTGGTGTGTTCCATTTTTTGTCATAGGGTGCTGGCAGATTACGGGCCTCCCATTGCTGCTGCCAGGCCGTAATCTGCCATGGGCCCCTGTACCGCCTCCTCATGCTGCTGCCAGGTCCAGAGTGTGTCATGGGTCCCTGTACGGCCTCCCATTGCTGCTGTCTCCATCGCCACACTCTGCCATGTGCCACTTTCAGGTCTCCTCACACACTGCTGGTGTGTTCCATTTTTTGTCATAGGGTGCTGGCAGATTACGGGCCTCCCATAGCTGCTGCCAGGCCCCTAATCTGCCATGGGCCCCTGTACCGCCTCCTCATGCTGCTGCCAGGTCCACAGTGTCTCATGCCATGTGCCACTTTCAGGTCTCCTCACACACTGCTGGTGTGTTCCATTTTTTGTCATAGGGTGCTGGCAGATTACGGGCCTCCCATTGCTGCTGCCAGGCCCGTAATCTGCCATGGGCCCCTGTACCGCCTCTTCATGCTGCTGCCAGGTCCAGAGTGTGTCATGGGTCCCTGTACGGCCTCCCATTGCTGCTGCCAGGAGGCAGCAGGGTCGCAGCAGTGTCAGTGGAGGCAAACGGCCACGGAGTAGAGCACCAGCTCCACTGCAGCCTACCACCACGGCCAGTAGTGGTGCCGGTGTGCACGGAGGAAGTAGCAGTCAGCCAGTGAGGAGTAGCGGGGGCAAAGTTTCCTACTCGGCGGTGTGGCAATTTTTCGTCAAGCCGCCCGAGGAAGTAAACGTAGCCGTATGTCGACTATGTGGCCAGAAAGTCAAGCGTGGCCAGGGGGCCCATGTTGGGACTACAGCGTTGCGTCAGCATATGCAGCGTCGCCATTCGGTGGCCTGGGAAAACCGTGATAAAGATACGGCGGTTCTGCCTGCCCCAGCCCAGGGTTCCATTTTGTCATAGGGTGCTGGCAGATTATGGGCCTCCCATTGCTGCTGCCAGGCCTTAATCTGCCATGGGCCCCTGTACCGCCTCCTCATGCTGCTGCCAGGTCCACAGTGTCTCATGGGTCCCTGAACCGCCTCCCATTGCTGCTGTCTCCATCGTCCACACTCTGCCATGTGCCACTTTCAGGTCTCCTCACACTGCTGGTGTGTTACATTTTTTGTCATAGGGTGCTGGCAGATTACGGGCCTCCCATTGCTGCTGCCAGGCCCGTAATCTGCCATGGGTCCCAGTACCACCTCTTCATGCTGCTGCCAGGTCCACAGTCTCTCATGGGTCCCTGTACGGCCTCCCATTGCTGCTGTCTCCATCGCCACACTCTGCCATGTGCCACTTTCAGGTCTCCTCACACTGCTGGTGTGTTCCATTTTTTGTCATAGGGTGCTGGCAGATTACGGGCCTCCCATAGCTGCTGCCAGGCCCTTAATCTGCCATGGGCCCCTGTACCGCCTCCTCATGCTGCTGCCAGGTCCAGAGTCTCTCATGGGTCCCTGTACGGCCTCCCATTGCTGCTGTCTCCATCGCCACACTCTGCCATGTGCCACTTTCAGGTCTCCTCACACACTGCTGGTATGTTCCATTTTTTGTCATAGGGTGCTGGCAGATTACGGGCCTCCCATTGCTGCTGCCAGGCCCCTAATCTGCCATGGGCCCCAGTACCGCCTCCTCATGCTGCTGCCAGGTCCACAGTCTCTCATGGGTCCCTGTATGGCCTCCCATTGCTGCTGTCTCCATTGCCACACTCTGCCATGTGCCACTTTCAGGTCTCCTCACACTGCTGGTGTGTTCCATTTTTTGTCATAGGGTGCTGGCAGATTACGGGCCTCCCATAGCTGCTGCCAGGCCCCTAATCTGCCATGGGCCCCTGTACCGCCTCCTCATGCTGCTGCCAGGTCCAGAGTCTCTCATGGGTCCCTGTACGGCCTCCCATTGCTGCTGTCTCCATCGCCACACTCTGCCATGTGCCACTTTCAGGTCTCCTCACACACTGCTGGTGTGTTCCATTTTTTGTCATAGGGTGCTGGCAGATTACGGGCCTCCCATTGCTGCTGCCAGGCCCGTAATCTGCCATGGGCCCCCGTACCGACTCCTCATGCTGCTGCCAGGCCCGTAATCTGTCATGGGCCCCTGTTGTCGCTTGTTGACATATTCCGCTCGTTCAGATGCTCCTTCTCCTGCTACTCCTCTTCACGGATTCCGTCAGCAGTCTTTCTTGGAATACGTTTCCAAGAGACAACAGTTTGCGAGCACGCACCCGACGGTGCAGAAGCTGAACGTCCTCCTGTCCAAGTTGCTGCTGCCAGGCTCGTAATCTGTCATGCGCCCCTGTACCGCCTCCTCATGCTGCTGCCAGGTCCAGAGTGTGTCATGGGCCCCTGTACCGCCTCCTCATGCTGCTGCCAGGTCCAGAGTGTGTCATTGGTCCCTGTACGGCCTCCCATTGCTGCTGCCAGGCCCGTAATCTGCCATGGGCCCCCATACCAACTCCTCATGCTGCTGCCAGGCCCGTAATCTGTCATGGGCCCCTGTACCGCCTCCTCATGCTGCTGCCAGGTCCAGAGTGTGTCATGGGTCCCTGTACGGCCTCCCATTGCTGCTGTCTCCATCGCCACACTCTGCCATGTGCCACTTTCAGGTCTCCTCACACTGCTGGTGGTTTCCATTTTTGTCATAGGGTGCTGTATGGCCTCCCATTGCTGCTGCCTCCACCGCCACACTGTGGCTCCACACTCTGGTTTTGGCCCCGTGACTGCCCAAATGAGTGAAGTGTGCGGTGATTCTAAGATCGATGGCACTCATCTGCATGTCATACTGACTGTCAGTATTATTTCTCTTCCCCAGCAGACTCCAAGGGCATTTAAATTAAAGGTACAGTGTTCTGCACTAATATAAAGGCTCTCTGAAGCCTAGAAAAACACCCTTTTATAAGTTAAATTCGCAGCGAATACATTCGACTCGAATCGAAATTTTTTCACGAATTCGCCGAATCAGTCGAATCGAATTTTTGAATAATTCGCTCATCTCTAGTCCTCATATTACAAAGTTTTGGCAAATGTAAATGAGAATGTACAGGAATTTGCACAATCAGACTGTATTGTTTTGGGCCACCCTTAGTTTAGCTGAGTCGAAAAAGTGAATTTACCTTAATTTGCAGATCTCAATGAATTGAGCCCATTGTGTCATAAACGCAATGGAGTGACTATAGGACTCTTTGGCCCTAAAAGTTGCTTTTCTGCAAGTTGGGCCAGGGTGGTGAATAGTTAAAGATGGATAACTTATAGTGTAAAGAAATAGCACATGGTTGCTTGAAGTGATTTCTGGGGACTGTAATAATGTATAAATATGGTACTTTGTACATGTTTTCTATGCCTAATTACTTTTATATGCTACATAACTTCTCTGGTGCATCTAAACTGTAGTGGGTGTGTTCTATGATAATATATAAAATATATAATGATGATTGAGATATATATATATATATATATATACACATACAGTATCTCACAGAAGTGAGTACACCCCTCACACTTTTGTAAATATTTTATTCTATCTTTTCATGTGACAACACTGAAGAAATGACACTTTGCTACAATGCGACATAGTGAGTGTACAGCTTAAATTTGCTGTCCCCTCAAAATAACTGAACACACAGCCATTAATGTCTAAACTGCTGGCAACAAAAGTCAGTACACCCCTAAGTGAAAATGTCCACATTGGGCCCAAAGTGTCATTATTTTGTGTGGCCACCATTTTTTTCCAGCACTGCCTTAACCCTCTTTTGCATGGAGTTCACCAGAGCTTCACAGGTTGCCACTGGAGTCCTCTTCCACTCCTCCATGATGACATCACGGAGCTGGTGGATGTTAGAGACCTTGCGCTCCTCCACCTTCCATTTGAGGATGCCCCACAGATGCTCAATAGGGTTTAGGTCTGGAGACATGCTTGGCCAGTCCATCACTTTTACCTTCAGCTTCTTTAGCAAGGCAGTGGTCACCTTGGAGGTGTGTTTGGGGTCATTATCATGTTGGAATACTGCCCTGCGGCCCAGTCTCCGAAGGGAGGGGATCATGCTCTGCTTTCAGGATGTCATAGTACATGTTGGCATTCATGGTTCCCTCAATGAACTGTAGCTCTCCATTGTCAGCAGCACTCATGCAGCCCCAGACCATGACACTCCCACCACCATGCTTGACTGTAGGCAAGACACACTTGTCTTTGTACTCCTCACCTGGTTGCAGCCACACACGCTTGACACCATCTGAACCAAGTAAATTTATCTTGGTGTCATCAGACCACAGGACATGGTTCCAGTAATCCATGTCCTTAGTCTGCTTGTCTTCAGCAAACTTCAGTTTCAGGGTCTTGGCAATCTTATAGCCTAGGCCAGCAATGGGCAAACTACGGCCCGCGGGCCGTATACGGCCCGGCGGACCTTTTAATCCGGCCCGCGGAGCTAGGCTCCCGCAAGGCCAGTGGTCGGCAAGCCGCGGCTCTTTACAATAGATGCGGCTCTCCTGTGTGCCGGGCGCCCGCTCCCCTCCCTCCTCTCGGGCGGGGGGCGGGCGACCTCCTCTCCTCCTCTCCCCTCCCCTCCTCTCGGATGGCCGCCCCCCCTCTAGGATGGCCGCCCCCTCCCTCCTCTCGGGCGTCAGGACTCTGCAGCTGTCAGGATGTAGGCGGGGCAGCCAGGATGTAGGCGGGGCAGCGTGACGAACTCTTCTCTCACAGTCCTCCCTGAAGACCAGACGGCGCGGGAATACGAGAGGAACGCGCGGAGGAGCAAAGGTAAGTGAATTGACACAGGGGGGACTTACTATATGGGGGACTTACTATATGGGGAATGAATTACTATATGGGGGACTTACTATATGGGGAATGAATTACTATATGGAGGACTTACTATATGGGGAATGAATTACTATAGGGGGGACTTACTATATGGGGAATGAATTACTATATGGGGGACTTACTATATGGGGGATGAATTACTATATGGGGGTCTTACTATATGGGGAATGAATTACTATATGGGGGTCTTACTATATGGGGAATGAATTACTATATGGGGGACTTACTATATGGGGAATGAATTACTATATGGAGGACTTACTATATGGGGGACTTACTATATGGGGAATGAATTACTATATGGGGGACTTACTATATGGGGAATGAATTACTATATGGGGGACTTACTATATGGGGAATGAATTACTATATGGGGGACTTACTTTATGGGGAATGAATTACTATATGGGGGACTTACTTTATGGGGAATGAATTACTATATGGGGGACTTACTATATGGGGAATGAATTTCTATATGGGGGACTTACTTTATGGGGAATGAATTACTATATGGGGGACTTACTATATGGGGAATGAATTACTATATGGGGGACTTACTATATGGGGAATGAATTACTATATGGGGGACTTACTATATGGGGAATGAATTACTATATGGGGGACTTACTATATGGGGGACTTACTATATGGGGGATGAAATTACTATATGGGGGATGAATTAATATGGGGGGGATGATGAATTACTATGTGGGGGATGAATTACTATGTGGGGGATGAATTACTATGGGGGATGAATTACTATATGGGGGATGAATTACTATATGGGGGATGAATTACTATATGGGGGATGAATTGCTATATGGGGGACGAATTGCTATATGGGGGACGAATTGCTATATGGGGGATGAATTACTATATGGGGGATGAATTACTATGGGGGATGAATTACTATATGGGGGATTAATTACTATGCTTACTATGGGGGAATATTACTATACTTACTATGGATGACACATACACATCATTCATCTACTCTTGGTCCGGCCCCCGGGTCCAATATATGAACCCATTGCGGCCCTCAAGTCAAAAAGTTTGCCCACCCCTGGCCTAGGCCATCTTTATGTACAGCAACAATTCTTTTTTTCAGATCCTCAGAGAGTTATTTGCCATGAGGTGCCATGTTAAACTTCCAGTGACCAGTATGAGTGAGTGAGAGTGATAACACCAAATTTAACAGACCTGCTCCCCATTCACACCTGAGACCTTGTAACACTAACGAGTCACATGACACCGGGGAGGGAATATGGCTAACTGGGCCCAATTTGGACATTTTTGCTTAGGGATGTACTCACTTTTGTTGCCAGAGGTTTAGACATTAATGGCTGTGTGTTGAGTTATTTTGAGGGGACAGCACATTTACACTGTTATACAAGCTGTACACTCACTACGTCACATTGTAGCAAAGTGTAATTTCTTCAGTGATGTCACATGAAAAGATATCATAAAATATTTACAAAAATATGAGGGGGTGTACTCACTTCTGTGAGATACTGTATATATATATCATCATTATATATTTTATATATATATAGAACACACCCACACACCAGAGAAGTTATGTAGTATATAAATGTAATCAGGCATAGTAAACATGTACAAAGTACCATATTTATACATTATTACGGTCAAAACATGAGACACAAAACAGTAGCAAAGATTGTATCAGATACAAAGTGCCGTAATAAAACATACCAAAGATAATCGCTCAAAAAGTAAATCAGTCCAGTAGTGTAACTAAATTCAAGTCCCAGGGATGTTTTAGCCTCAGTTTCGTTACATTGTCTGACTGATTTACTTTTTTGGCAATTATTGCTTGTATTGATAAGTAATGATGGGCTGCACATTGAAGACATGAACAGTATAGACATTCAGTGCGCTATTCGCCCACCACGCCCCACAATGCACTGCGCCATGATAGTGCATTGTGATTGGCCCTTGTGACATCATAATGCCTTGTGGTCAAGTGCAATGCTTTGGTCAATCACTGAGCATTATGACGTCACAAGGGTCTGGAGTGACCCCACCCCCTTGTGATGTCATCACCCTATTTAAAAACTGTCATTGCAGTGCAGCTGGGTGGGTGTCAGCATCAAGGGCGAAGTATATTTTTTTTTCTCTTTTCGGGTTGGCAGTGGTGACAGACATCGTGACTGA